CCCCCCCCCCCCCCCATATTCTAATGGTCCGCCCCTTATTTCGAGCAGAGTAAAATAAATCTCGTATTTTATTTCGTGACCATTTGGATTGTATATGATTGGCTCCCGGCCCCTTGCTTAATGCATCAAAACGGTTACTTAAAACAGACGGCTTTAAGCCGGGCGCACACGCTTCGATTTTAGTCTGTCAGTTATGGTTTAGATTAACGTTAGAACGAGAAACAGTCAGTGGTGTAAGCTGTAGACCCGGGTTAGAGGTTATATATAGTTGCCGGGTGGGGTGGGAATCGGGATCAATCTGATATACTATAATGAGCGCTACATGAAGTGTATACCATGCAATCGCTTGACCTCTGACCATAAGCATGTTTATGCTCTTGGGCTTATTTCTACTCGATACTCGTTTCCAAATTGTCCAAAGCTGAAAAAGCTTCAAAAGAATGTCAAAAGCTTTTTACGCTCCGTTTTAATATCAAGCAAGGGCGTCCAAGAAAGCTAAGTACAAAGGGACTACCAAGAACTGTCCGGCGAGAGATCAATGTGGAAAAACTATGGATTTAGTCGTTAAACGGATTTTTAAACGCCTTGACGGACGTCTGCGTTTTGCATTACAGTCCAAAAGACAAAGAAAACTGCAACCTCAAGCTTATGCAATTTAGCCCGAACAAGATGGTCTTTAAGGTTTTTGGATCTCCTAAAACACACCATAGGTGGCTTTGGCATGACACTTAGGAACTTGCTAGATAAGCCTACAATATGTTGCAATTCCCTAAAAATTCCATAAATTTCCCGCAATGCTGGGTGACAATCTATGATAAAGGTACTATTATTATTTTCCCTTCTAGTTTGTTCACTTTCCCGTTTAAATAATGCCGACCGATCCAAAAACCTGACTCTCTTAAACTGACTCTCTACAATTTCGCTATTATAGCCCCTTTAAACCAGAAACCCTTTCAATTCCTGAAGCCTACTCTCAAAAACCCTATCTGAATGGCAAATCCACTTTAGACGCAATGCCTGTCCATAACGAATTCCCCTCTTAACATGTGGAGGATGGCAGGACTTAAAATTTATATACTGATGTGCATCAGTGGGTTTACCATACACATCAGTACAAAAAAACCAATTATCCAATCCTACCGACACGTCAAGAAAGGAATTCCTATGATAACTTATATCACATGTATACTTGATATTCTCGTGAAAAGAATTCAAACGAAGCAAAAAATCATTTAATTCCTCCTCCGAATGAAGCCAAATCACAAAAATATCATCCAGGAAACGCCACCATACCCATGGTTTTAACTCACACGTCTCCAAAAATTTTTCTTCCAAGTGCCGCATAAATATATTTGCAAAACCTGGTGCGAACTTGGTCCCTATGGCTGTCCCAAATTTTAAAGCACAGATTATCGATATCACGGATATTAATAAACCTACAGAGAGGGAAAGCTTTTGGATTGAAAAATTGAATACATATGTACCACTGGGATTAAATTTGAGGGAGGAATATTAATGCAAGTCTATATATTATTAGTGTATGTTAATTAGTTTGGGCCGAAAGTATTTAAAGACATGGATTGTTATCTCGTTTCTGACGAAGCGGCTGTGCCCCGAAACGTATTTATGTATTTATTTGAAATTTAATAAAATTTATTTCTAAACAACACAATTCAGTTGCCCAATGATATTAATGTAGGCTTGAAATGATACGATAGAGGATAATATTCTCATAATAAAATGCGAAAAAAAGACGCCTGAGAGAAACATTCCTCAGTTTGTTGCTTACTCAGAGTTTGTTGCACTATATATATATATATATATATACAATAATAAATCGTTGTCCGTTGTACAAAAAGAGTGCTCAATAACAAATTTAATTGATAGAGCAAAATATACTAATTATAATCTTAAAATTTTATTAATCGATTAATAAAATTTTAAGATTATAATTAGTATATATATATATATATATCTATCTGTATATATATATATATATATATATATATATATATATATATATATATATATATATATATATATATATATATATATATATATATATATATATATATATGGAGTGAATATACAGTAGTCTGGCTATAGTCAACGTTGATGCCACTTGTCTAGAGGATCCAAAAGGATACACGACGTTATATATATATATATATATA